TCTCTCTCTCTCTCTTCTTCTTCCTCCTTCAGGTTAAGGAGTCTTGTCACTCTCCCGGGCATAGGGGTCGGTCAAGACCCCGGGCGTCAAGCCCACCCGCATATGTTATGCAGACCTAGGGGTCTGAAGAACGTGCGTAATGCATCCGAAGGCTCATGCCATAAAGTCTGGTTGCATGTACACTCTCATCTCTCTCTCTCTCTCTCTCTGTCTCTCCTTCTCTCTCTTGCTCGCGCTCTCCTTTCAAAAGCATTTAGCAAATCATCATGACGCATTTAGCAGTACGCTTTTGCAAAGGATAAGCAGTACAACCCACGACTGTCTCGCAAAGATGATATGCTGGATCGTGGTTCCATAAGTTAGATTATGTACAGTTCTCCTCCATGTGGGTCACAAGCGATGTCTGCACCAAAATGTCGTCAGGAGACGGGCCATCGTTGGCCTCCACATTTTCTGCCACTATCACCTCGTCAGCCTCATCAGCTCCAATGCCATCGCCCCCTGGACTTCCATTCCATCCTTCTGTCTCCTCGCCTCCCTCCGCGTCCAGCTTTGCGAAGATCTGCTCGGCCTTATCCGGGAAGGCGACACACCCGGCGGCTGCGTCTCCTGACTCTCCACGGCCATATGGGTCGGCCGCAGCTGGGGTGACCTGCTCCGCAAGAGGGCTCCACGCCTCCAGTTCCGTCCTTAGTTTCTTCAGGTTGTCGAGCTTGCAGCTCAATTCACTTAAACTTTCGAAACTCAGATTTCTCCTGTACTTCCAGCAATTCGACAAAGGAAGACGCCCAGTATGATTCGGGGCACATTTACTAGCCGCTTCCAAACTCCAACGCGTATTTTTTTTGCGAGGGACTGGGTCGCTTCGGTCCGGGTTCCTGCGTCCAAGTAGTCAGTCTGCGTCTCTGTAGATCTCGTGACCAACATGGGAATGGGCCTCATCCTCATGTCGCAATTTGCCAAGAAAGGGGCCCAATTTATCGAGACTTCCGCATGTAGCTCTGGAGCAAGGTTCCTATAGCAAGGAAACGAACAACGGAAATGCATCGAGAGCCAGGCTCAAAATGCCCGGCAGTACGAACGAGGATGGCGGGAAGACGGTTGAACTTTGAGAGAGCGCATGCCCTGAAAGGTGGTATCATACCAGATCCTACTACTAGCAACTAAAGGTTAAGGCCTACAGTGAAGGAGGTAGCCCTCAAGCCTGAGAGTTTTTCTTGCTCCGGACATCCTACAACATGAGTCCGCTCGAAATCCTACGTAAACTTTAAAGGCTCTCTCCAAGCGACTCCGCATCTCTCAGATTGACACGGAAGTAGATATCTTCCTCATCCAGCAGCTGCACGTTGCAGACTTGCGTTTCGCAGTGCGTGCTCAATGCCCTTGGTCGGCTTTGAGGCTCGGGAGTGGGCCGTGGTTTCAGCTGCGCTTTGGGGTTCCAGACAGCTCCTGGATTTTTGTTTTCGGGATCGTCTTCCATCTTTTTTTCTACTGACAGAATGAAGATGACCCAGATAACGGGGTGACACATCAAAAAAAAATGATAAGCATCAAAAATAATTTTTTACCACGGTAGCCATCAAAAAATTGCTAAGCATCTAAAAAATATTTGATAAAAAGGGTTTGGGCTTTAGACGGTAGCCATCAAAAACAAATTTGATAGGCATCAAGAAAAATGCATGGAGGGTTTAGGAATTTTCAAGGTGTTTATCAAATCGTTTAAAGATGCTTATCAAATCTTTAGATGCTTCTCAATTTTTTTGATGCCTATGCCCAGATAACAGGAGAGAAGCGTGCATGTCTGCTGCCAACCAGAAATGCACCTTGTGCCCATGGCATTTCGACACTCAAACCCCGTGAGGCTTAAACCACACGTCCATACATCCTTAGGCTTTGAAGGTATATACCCCCAATTGCAGCAATCCTCGGATCCCCAACTCTTGAGACCCCAAGGTCTGAAAGGTAGAATTCACACACCCACATAGCAAAATCCAAGCAGGCCCCAGGCGCGTGCCCGAGGATGGGCTGTTAGGTCGTTCCAGCGCCAAAGAGATGAACTCGACCTCTGATTTGGGGGGAGACAAAGGCATCTCGGACCAAGGTGCTTAGAAACCAAGGCTTGAGGTTTGGGGAGGTGCTTGGGTTGTTGGAATTGGGATAAAGGTAGTGTTCAGGGTCCTCATGCTCAGGGCTCTCAGTTTTACGCTCTCGCAACTCGGACTCCGCCAAACGAGGTCTCTCGTTTTGCAACTCAGTTAGGTTCTCTACACTTCCGGTCAGGATGAAAGCTTTAGGGCCTGCAGCCCTGAACCGAAAACTGTCCCCGAAGACTGCACGCCTGCGAGTCCACCTCGGAGCCCAGTGAGCTCGCAGTCTGGAAAGAGGCGCGGGGACCAAGCCGGGCCATGGCGCTCGGAGCAGCACAAGTGAAGCCGACCCGTCGCGAAGATCTTCGCCGAAAGATCCTGACACGGCCGTCACCACTCAATTTCTGAAGCCCTGCTTCGTGAAGTTGACCGGAAACCCAAACCCTAAGGAGCCTTGAAACCTCAAGGCATGAAGCATCAAAAAAACCAAACTTCTTTTCGGTTTTCATTCTAGGAAGCCTCCGAAAAGCACGCCCGCTTTCGGGGTGTGTCTCGGCGGTCTGTGCAGAGCGTCCCTATCCGCCGAGGCACTTCGGGTCTTGAGCCGAAGCAGAAGCACACAGCGGCGGGGGAGGGGAGAATATGTCACAGCCTCTCGGTGGTGTCGAGCCTTTAACCCATGTAACGCCAGCCCCTTAAGGGAGACAACTTGGGCCCGACTCTGCAACACGCATAGCAGACTCTTCGCTCCTGTAGTCGTATCAGCACATGCAATTTCAACAAGCTTCGAGTATGGATGTTCCAAATTACCAAGTATATGCATATACACACTACGTACATAACATACATATTCCCTTTGTCTCTATGCATCTCTCGAAGGACGCATGTCTGCATGTGCGCAAAATCACCATGCCTGTATGCCTGCTTGCACGCGTATATGTATGTACGTAGGTATGTAGGCTGGCACGTAGCTAGGCAGATAGGTGTGATAATTACTCATGATGCATGCAACTAAAACGATTATATACGTAATATACCAACATGCTCAGTCTCGGGCTGCCTCCATGCGCTTCAGATCGGCTACTTCTTTTTGGGCGTCTCCTTCCATGGAACGAGCATTTTCGAATATGTGCGGCCGCACGGACGAAAGATGCCGTGGCTGTCATGCTCGCAATGACAACAGCAACAAGGGCAGGAGCAGCAGCAGCAACACAGCAGCAGCAACAGCAACCGCAATCGCAATTGCACCAGCACCTCTGACAATAGAAGGGAACATGAGGACAAGGTACATTACGACTGACAGGACTCCATACAGCGGGAGGCACCATGGGAACCCAGCCTGCTGCTGCCTGGGATGCCTTTAAGTAAGCCCAAACCACAATGCCTGACTCTATCTCATAAACGTGTAATCCGTCATCAGCCACAACCAGACAACTATCGCGACTATGCAATGCAAACAAGTATGATGATGTGACAATGTCAAGCTCTCACACCAGAGCTGGACGGTTTTTCAGCTTCAGATCATTCGGTCCGGAGTTGAGGCTTCTACCTACTACATATTGGAGGTCGACACAGCTAAGCTTGGAAAGGCTCAAACATGAATCATGCTGTTTACAGAGGGCAGGTCCATCTGATTATGGTGCTTGTCATGCCACTGCAAACGCGGAGATTAGGCCATACGTCCCAAAGTACTCGAGCGCATGCGCGAGTACTCGGAATGCAGTCGCCCATCGCGTCCGCAATGAACAATTTGTTCCCCTGCTTTTGCGGATTGCAACAATCAGCCTCAATTACATCCAAGCCGAACATCATGTGGGTGCTGGTCTGGTTGGCTCCCGAAAGGGGAGCCGCATTATGCTTGAGGCTTTAATTGCGGAACTAACACAGAGCTGTGAGCCGTTTAAATTCTGTACACCAGAAGCTCACTGTGCTAGCCACCTGGGAGACGCGTTCCATGAGGAAGCCGAAGTCGGTGGGCGCTGACTGGTCCATCTTCCCTGGGACTGTTGGAGCCCTCTTAATCTAGAGGCTATGTTGCCTTGGGAACACGTTAACGAACATGAGGGAAGTGGCAGTTCTCATTGTGGCTCTCTTTCAAAGACGTCTCCACACCCTGTGCGTGGTGATCCCCGCAAGGTCTTCGGAACCAAGCCATCTAGTCTCGGGCTTCACCCTGTGCCCGAATGCAACGGTGTCAAGAGTTGGCTTTTTCGGAGCGATGCGACAACATCGGAGTTGAGGGAACTACGCGGTCAATCTTCGGTTTTCCGGCTTTCCCCAAATTCTGAAAATCGGGGGCTTTGGAAAGGGGTTTGCGCATTTTGGGTCACTTCGGATTTCACGATGACGGTTGCATGCTTTGTCCAGCGCCGGGGTGGAAGCACGACTGGGGCATGCTTGTACTTCATGAAACATGTATCGCCGTTTCATGATTTTCAAGCATGGGGTATGGGGATGACGACATTGTAGTCAGTTACTGTGAGTGCTAACTTGGAGTCCTGGCCGGTTTACGCCGTCATGGTGGGTTGGTGATGTCGGTGCCTAGCCTTGGTTGTCATGCTTTGGGCAGAGCTTGCCTCGCCCTGCCGACTCCTGGTTCGCCCTGTTGCCGCAAATTTGCTGAGAATCAGACAATTTTCTGCGACACTTGCAGATCGATCGCGGCTGAGGAGTGTTACTTGCGACAACCCAGAGAAATAGCTCAAAATGACGAGAGTTTGATAGAGCTGTACAAACCAAACAGCTATTGACTGACCTTGCATCGCCCACGTCTCCTGAAACACTAGTATGGTTCCTATGCCCTCCTCCACAAGTCTCCAAGCCCCCCCAAGCACAAAGGCTGAAAGAAATCCACGAACCCCTGAATGAACAAGCCTTGTTGGCCCCTTTCTTTAGGCACTGGCTTGGCACAGGAATCCCGAACTGTGTCTCCTCAATCTCCTGAACTTCAGGGCGATTCGGAGGGTGGAGCTGTCCAGCTGAACTTCAGGGCGCAAGGGTGCAGGATTCCGGAGTCTCAGCCGCTTGTTTTCACCTAGGCGTCCCAAGAAAGCTTCCCAAGAGCTCGCATCAGCCAGAACAGGCAATAGCAACTGCAGGCTACTTTCACTTATAGTTTTAAAAATGAGATCCTTTAAATGCTGGTCCCAAACTCTGAGTTTAAAACACCCAGCGACTAGACCTCGGAGCCAGTAAAAACAGTGCTACAAGGATGAAGAGAACGAGACAGGGATGCATCGTGATACATGGTACAGAAGCAGTTATAGGCTTACATGCAGCACAATGGACACGTTCAGAAGCTCAAGTGAGGCATGGCAGAAGCAGCGGCAAATGTAAAATACGTGATAAACAACAAAAAATACAAGCAGGCATGCATTCATACATGTACATCTACAAATGCCTACACACACAGAAACAGACACACACATACACAATATATATATATATGTATGTATGTATGTATGTATGTATGTATGTATACACACCCACCCACCCACACACACACACATATATATATATATATAACTATATATTCTGTATATATATATATACACGCACACATACATACACACACACACATACAACTATCTATGTTTTAACGTAATGTGTATTTTATATGCATACAGACAGCCATGCATACAACCAGACCTACGTCGCTAACACACACCTTCGTGAACACATGCATAATCCAACATGTCTACCTACCTACCTACCTACCTACCTAAAGCTACGCAGGAGGTCAGGGAAGCCTTGCATCTCAACTCTTGTTCTTTCTGCCCTCAAGGATTCCTTGAGGTCGCCAACGTCCACATCCATGGACCTCAAAAGAGGCTCTAGGCTGCTTCCCTCTGTACTGACACTTTTAATGGCTTCGAGCTTGCAGGTTTGAGTTGGGTTTCAAGGGCTAGGCCCTTTTAGGACATGGGGTGTGGGACTTGGGAGTCTTTTGTTTGAAGCGAATTGGACTGGGCGGGTAGGACTTCTGCAAATCTCGGATATGCATGGCGTCGTAGGGCCGCAGGGAGAGATTTGCGAAGCTACCCGGATCGTCCAACAGTTCATGAACTGTCGCTGGCTGTTGGAGCTTGACAGCAGGTTCCAAGCGATTCCGTCTCTCTGTGTCTGCATGATTTCCAAATAAGATTGGGTACGGGAGACGGAACCCGCGTAGTTTGGTTTAGCCCCGTCTTTTACCTACCGGCAGTGCCTCTAGAGCGATCTGGGTATCAAATTCAAACCTGCGGTCTGGTCTTTCGGTTCCAGAACCTTTCAGATCATGCCGGTTGCATCTCGTGACGGTGAACCGACTCTGAATCTCCACACCCACCTTGATTAGGACACCCTCTTTACCGGGTGACGTGTTGGAGCATCCCTTTTTAATGTGAAGCTGCTTTGCCAGGACTATTTTCGGTATTCTATTCTCTTGAGCAGGAGGGAACCTAAAAAGCGAACTTGCAGTTTCGATGCTCCCCCGCTACCGCCAGAGGCTCCGATTGAAACCCCATCCCACGCGTATCAAGACTGGAATCCCACGCGTATCAAGACTGGATGATCAGGGTGTCTCTGACCGTCTTGTGGGAGCCCCCAGCTGAAAAACGGGGTGCTGCATTTATCTGAGGCTGTCCCAAAGCTGAATCACAAGCGTCCTCAAGCCTCCAACGGCCTAAGGGAGATGTAAACAAAATGAACTCCGTGAAAGGATGCCCCGAAAAGCATCTCGAGTTCTGGCGCTTGTCGCTGCAATCAATCAACTCCGGGTAATAAAAGTTTCCAGGGCCTGTAGTCACCCTCCGTAACGATCTCCGCGACATCGCCGCTCATCTTCACGACACGTGCCTGCAGAAAAGTCCACTGGCAGTGGCTTCGATGTCGTGGTGGTGAATGTAATGCTATTCACGGTACAGTACAAGTAGTAGCTAGTGGCCGCATCGCTGTAAGCAGTCAACTGAAGTAGCAGCAGCAGGACCAGTAGTAGTAGCAGTATTGGCAGCAGCTGCAGCAGCAGCAGTAGCAGCAGTGATAGCAGTAGTAGTAGTAGTAGTTGTTGTTGTTGTCGTCGCAGTCGTCGTCGTCGTCGTCGTGTAGTAGTAGTAGTAGTAGTAGTAGCAGTAGTAGTAGTAGTAGTAGTAGTCGTAGTCGTAGTCGTAGTCGTGGTGGTAGTAGTAGTAGTAGTAGTAGTAGTCGTCGTAGTGC